ATTTTGGGCTCCGCTCAAACCTCTAGGTGCACAATCTATTCCTGAGTCACAAAGGTGCCTTTGACATCTATCAGGTGCCATGCGAGCTCCAAGGTCGGGTGTGTGGGGAAGTGCCGAGAAGACGGTGAGCAGCCGGGGAAGGGATGCTCGGCCGCTGCTCTCAGAGAACGCTGGGAACGTGGGAGATGCTGACGTTGACTTTCCCGCATCCTGCGGCGTGGAGGGTCCTGGGCTAGATGGTCTGGCTCCGCCCTTTCTCCTTCCACAGCTTGGTCACCCTCTACCCTCCACCGCCACCCCGGGGGAGAGGGCCTCCTGCTCCCTAAAAGCAACTTACAGACCTCTCCCTCTAGATGCTTAGGCAAGACCAGCACTCATCCAGCAACAGAGGGGCGCTGGCTCCGCCACTCCACGGGTCTGGGACAACCGCGGAGGGGGCGCGCCATCTCTAAACTAGCGGTTCTCAAAGTGGGGGCCCCGAGGCCAGCAGCGGCGGCTGCACCTGGGAACTCGTTAGAAATGTAACTTCTCGGGCCCCTGACAAGTCGGATGCACACTGCCTGGGAAACCACTTCCGGCAACGTTTTGCTCTGGAAACCCGTTTTCTCGTTCATAAAATGAGTATTATCAATGTTCTTCCCCCAAGGTCATGTCGAGGATTCCGTGAGATAGTGCTGGATTCCTGGAGTTCCTGGCGTGCAGGGTAAATGTCACCGTTATCTCACCAGTCGCCACTTTGGGGGCGCAAGCTGTTTCACAGGAGCGGAGGACTCTTCTGGCCAGCTGCCGAGTCCCCTTCTTTTGCCGCCTCTGGGCTTGGCCTCCGCCTTTCAAATCCCACCCGCGTCACTGACTCCGGGGAGCCACTCAGGTGTGCCCAGGCCGGCATCCCCTCTCTCTCCGCTGCTGTTTGCATTGTTGGGGAAGGTGCGCCCACTTGACCGAGCCACTACCCTCAGTTACTCAAACCGATAGGATCTGGACCCTGTCCCCAGACTACCGGGTCCTGGCCCGTCTCCCATCCCCAGAACGGCCTCCAACAGGATGCAACTCCTGGTTATCGATCTCCTTCCTCCTCCATCCTTTACCAGAAGGTCAGGTGATCAGCCTTGGAGAATCCAGACGCATCCCTGGAGGGCAGTGGGCTGGGGCAGAGAGGCTCTCCTTCAATAATAAGGTAGCTCCAAGCACCCTCTAAACGAGCGGCCCTTAACCCATTCTCCCACCTAGCTTCATTTCATCTCCCTGTCCAAGCAAAGGTGGCCTTTTTTTCCCCTCTTGACTTTAGAGTGGATTTATACATATTCTCCATCTGGCAGGCTTGACAGACAGTATCGGCACCGTTCAGTCCCTCAACAACACATTAGTGAAAATGCAGTAATCGTAATCCAATGAGTTAGCAAGATGGGCAAGTCAGTTCAGATCATCTTCTTTATCCCTAGTTTTTTCTTCACAATTTCAACTCCCTGACTCTCTGGGTGCCTGCCTCTCTTTACTTCAGCCATCATCAGCTCCAGGACCAGGCATCACCTGGAGGATCTTAGAAAATGCAGACTTTTCTTCCTCTCCCCGCCCCCTCCCAGATCCGCAGAGGCTGCTCCTGCATTTTAACAATATTAAATATCCCTGTGGACAAGTTCTCTGGGGATGCCGGCTTCCAATGCAAATTCTCAAAGGGTCTGGTTCAATGAGTAGGGGTGAAACCCTGGAATCTGAACTTTTAAAGCGCGGTCTGGTCTCCCCATGCGACTTTTATGATAAAGTAAATTTGGATAAGTCTGAGATCAGGATCTGAAAACAACCAATTTTCACCCCCAGAATGGAGCTTTAGGACGTTGGTCTTCAGATTTTTTATTGAATGAAATTGGTGGCATCTGGGAGTAGGGCCAAGGCCGCCTCCTCAACTCTTCCTCTTAAAAATTAAAAGAAAAAAAAAAATTCCAGCAGTTCAAAAGGAAATAAAGACTCTGAGCTCTCTTCTTATCAGCCCCTGGTACCGGAGATCAGGACAAGATTGCTCAAACCAGCAGAGTGGGGATTATGGGGCCAAACTCCAGGATTAAAGAGGATGAGCTGAGACTGGACGTGGACACAGGTTTGGTGACCAGGTGGGTCCGTTGACGTCCTTGCGCTGCAGACCTCACCCGACTGCCCACGTCCACGTGGGCCCCAGCATCGCAGCCTCGCGCTACATTCAAAGTCAGGAGGGCGGATCTGGAGCTCTGCCTTCCCCCACCCCCCAAACTACCAAAGCCATGGAGTCCCCCTCACCCCCCACCCCGCAACCCCCACCCCAGCTCCCTGCCAGCTCTCTCTGGCAGCCCCCGGGAGCCCGCCCGCTCTGGTCCCCGCTGGACAAGGGCGCAATTTACTAGCATAAGCCGCCTCCCGCCCACCCAGATGAGGACCTGCCCCACCCCCCGCCGCCCCTTTTAAGCCATCAAATTCAATATTTACAAGAACAATCTCATACTTGGCTCTAAAATTACTAGCCACACAAGGAACAGTTTACTTCTCATAACAAGAAAAACCTAGGCTTGTGCCTTGTGCTTAAAAAAAAGAATAATAAAGTTTAAACACTTTTTTAAATAAATCGTTTACTGCATGTGCCCCCTTCCTTCCCGTTGGGGAGCAGAGTAAAAGCCAATTCTGCCGGCGCTCAGGCTGTCGGCCCATCCTGGCCGCCCCCACAGCTGCGGCCCTGTAACTTTAAACCTGGCCTGAGGTCATCGTTTTCGCGCGGGCCAAACAGAGCGAGAGGCGGTCCTAGTGAGCCCCGGCCTGAGACCACCTTACCGCGGGACGCTCCCGCCCTCCTCGGGAGACATAAATGCTGACTCCACTCCCAAAGTTCCCAGCTGCGAAGTTTGCTCTTTCGGCTGCTGCGGCGAAGGAAGCTTGGGGACCCCTCCCGCGCTGGGACTTTTGCTCCCTGCATTCCAGCCCCCACTTTCGCGCTCCGCCAAGCAAGGGCCTGTGGCTGCGGATTTTTAATCTCGCCCCAGCACAGAAACTAGCTGTTCCAAAGAGAGCGGGTTAACCGAGAAGATGTGGAAGGTGCCGGTTCTGCTGTTGGTTTTGGGAAGAGCATCGCTCTGGTTTTTGGCAGAAGGAGGTAAGACGCAGCGCCCCCGGCTCCCTGCAGGCAGCTGCTGGTGGGGGTGAGGGGGCCCCGACTTGCTGGAATGCCTGGGCCTGACATTTGAGGTTAACCGGGAAAGCAGAAGGGAACTCGGGAGTTTATGCGCAGGAGTCTGGGGGCCCCAGGAGGAAAGGCAGCGGCTCAGCAGGTGCCAGGTCCCATAGAAAGAGCGGAGCAGAGCTCGAGAAGGAGCTCCTGAACCCACAGTCAACAAAGGTGGGGAGCAGAGGGGACCTTCCTCCTGGTGAGCCCACCTCTGGCCACCCCCGGCTCAGCTCACAAGGGACAGGGTGACAGATAACAGCAAGGAGCCTTCCACCGGCCGGACTGGGCTTTCCTGCAGGCCTGTACTGGAGAAACGCCCATGGCCTCAGAAGGAACTGGGCCCATGGAATTGGGAGGGAGGTTCTGGAGTGCCGGGGTGGAGGGAGGGTCCCCCCAGTGGAGCCCTGGTCTCCCTCTGAGGACTGCCAGGTCTGACGCCCTGTGTGCCCACCTGTGGGACACATTCAGGACGCTGTCGATGGGGGTGGGCTGGAAGAGGCCCGGGACTGAAGTGGCTGGAGGGTTCCTGAGTAGCGCCAGGGAGTGGAGGAAGGCTGTGAACACTGAGGTTTGAGTAGGTTTGAGGCTACGTGTTGAACTTGGCCAGCGATGTCAGTGACTGCGTGAGTGTTGGTGACTCCTTAGACTTCCAACGTATTAGCTCTGAGGCTGGGGGCGCTGCTAGCTCGGTCGTGTGCATCTTTCCATCTTCCCCTCTGCTTATTCTCACATCCTCTTCCCATCCCTTGTCGCTTTCTGCCCAGCGTACTGTGTTGGTGGCATGTGTGAACATTTGTCAGTGTTTTATTTCTTTTCTTGGGTCTTGATTATCCGTTTCCCTGGTAAAATATAAGTTCGCGAGGACACAGCTTTGTCTTAGCCTTGATCTCCAAGGCCGAAACAATGTCTGGTGCCTAGGAGTTGCTCACTAAGTGTCGGTGGGAGGAATCGTGAGCTAACTAGTGACCTTTAGAGCTGGAGGTTGCTGCGTCCTGCTCTGAAAGGCAAATTCACACTTTCCAAAGCTCCAGGTGGTCCCAGTGTGGGAGGGATCCTACTTGGAGGGAGGAGTGGCCCTAACCTCTGCTTTTGTAATTCCACGCCAAGAAAAAAATCCCCAGCCCTAGGGAAACGATTGGGGGGGGGGTGTCTGTGCCGAGCCATCTGCTTTGGAGAGACGGAGCATCTCTCTGCAGCCCCACGGGCTCTTCGTGGTGGCCCTCCCTATTTTTTGGAACGCCTTTTTCCGCTACCATAGACACAGCTCTGCGTTTCACTTGTTTCCTTTTTGACGGGACAGTGTGCAAATGACACCATTTTGTGCTCACCGGGGCAAGGTCGGGGAGGCCCCCAAACTGAGTCGCATCCCAGCTCTGCCGAGGAAAGAGGGCAGCTGGGTGGCATCCTCCGTCTGCTCCCACGCAAGGGTCAGCTGTAATTATCTTCGAGCCAGTTCCTGAGCGTCAGAGGTACTCCCAAAAGGTCACGGTAAACCTTGTCTGGAAACACAGCCATCTCTGGTACTAGAAACTCAACTGCCAAAGACAGAACCCACCCCCACTCCGCCCGCGGGCTGTTGTGTGGTGGGGGTGTTGGCTGGGTGGGGATGCTGATTTGCTGGCCCTCTGGCAAAGAGTTGAGAGGCCCAGGAGGGGTTTTGTCTGAGGATAATGAGTGAGGCGACTTGCATATGGATGAATAACTTCATTGAGCTGAGCTATTGCCGGTTTTGTTGGGGAGCTGGGCTGGGGGTCATTATGGTGATGAATTTTATTATCCTTCTCATAGGATCTTACTCCTTGCTGGGCTTGCCTCGTCCAGTGTTGTAATCAGGTCCAGTCTTATAATCCGGTCCCATGTGTTGTCCCTTTGCACGTCAGTGGCTTCAAAGACGCTCTGTGGTCCACGCAGCTGGCGTTTCTCTCAACTGTCAGGCCCCGCCCTCACCCGGAACGTTCCTCAGGGCCTGTCCGTTAGATCGTTTATTTTGTGAAATTCTGCAGGCTGCTGCTTGCTGCAAACCCATATGTGCTTTTCCGGGACAAATCCACCCAGGATTAATCATGCGGCGGACAAATTTCCCTGTGATTTCCCCGAAACTCTTGCCAGTTTCGGAGGCCCTGAAATCTTCATGAGTTGCTACGAGTTTCTGTAGCAATTAGGGCACCGGTCAAGTGTTTAATAAAGATCAGGTCTCTTAGGGCCGGCATGCGGGAGGTGTGTGAGATCTGGAACAGCGTTTAATGTAGAAAAGCACATTTTTAGGAAGTGTCCAAGCATGAGAAGGTGTGGTCAGGACATGGCACATAGTGGGAAACCCTGGCTGAGCAGTGGTTTGCGGCCCCTTCTCTCCTCCTCTGGCCTCTGAAATCAGTGGCCCACGAGTGACTCTAAACCGGAGAGTTATAAAGTCCCTGAATCTCGGTGTCACAGTAGATGGTCTGGCCAAGTAGGAAGGACACCACCTCCCTCCCATTCTCCCCACAAACATGTGCTGGGAATGTCACGGCTACCTCATGTAATAATCATCACAACTCCTGATAGTGTGCGTTACTATCTTCAGAATGTGCCAGAACTGGGATTCAAAGGTGGGTCTAACTCCAAACTCCAAGCTCATTTTGTGCTCCATTACGCTGCAAAAAAAAAAAAAAAAAAAAAAAAAAAAAAAAATAAAACAAAAACATAAAATAAACATAAAAAAAAAAAAAGTTGAACTTGAAAGGTTAACCTCACTTTAAGCTCCTTAAACATGAAAATGGAAACTTTTAAGAGGTATAAAAAGTCCTTTACATTAACTACTTAACCATCATAGTACTTTAAGTATGAGGATGTCACAGTACATTACAACAGGATTCATTAATTCCTTTCCCAAGTGGTATTTCAGTGTCTCCTGAGTGCTTGGTACGGAGCGAAGTGCAGACTGTTTGCATTTTGTTGCAGAGAGACACACCTCATACCATAAAGCACACTCTGAATTCTTTTCACCAGCAAAGCAACAGGACCTGAGCTTTAAAGTCCATGAGCTTATCTGAATATTTGTCATATTTCTGGCTTCTAAGAACAGGCACGCCAGGTTATAACTTGTGAAAATATTACAGGGGAGGACGTAGAAAGAGAAAAGACTCAAATACCTAGGAGGATCCTGGGACACTCAACTCGAGGGATCTGAATAAGACCCTTGCCAGTCCTGACACCCCGCCACCTCTCAAGGAGATAGCTGCTGAGAGTTTTGTTGGAAGAGAACCGAATAATTGCGGGAATGAGGACAAGTTGGGCGGAGGGGTACTTTTCAAGCCAAGTAAACAGTTACTGAGATAAGTCTTAAGATTCCCAAGCGGGTAGGGAGTGTGTGGCGGGGGGTGGGGAGCGGGGGGCGTTGAGCGAGAGATAAAGCAGCTCTTGATTCGAAGTTTGAATCTTTTCTCTACTGATTTCTTAAACTTTGGGAAAGGGAAGCGATCAGGCATTTTATCCAGGGGCTATGGGATGGAGTCAGGTTAAGGAGCGGTGGGAATCCTGCCAAGTTCATCCAAGGCAGGAAGAGAGGTGGCTGTTTTCTTCCCTCTGTCTTACCCCAGCATCTACCAACCTGTCCGCTCACAGAGGGCCAGTCACAGCAAGCATCCCCTTGAGCTTCAACACACGAGTGGGTGGGCTCTCCTCTCCTCCTGGCCCAGTGCCATTGCCTCGGAGGAGATGGGTTTGTTCTTTGAGGGGAATCCAGCTGGAATCCAGCTAAATCCAGAGGGAAACCAGCAAACCTGGCCACCTCGTTCACCTCTTTGTCCGAAGACCTGCAAACTGAATTTGTTAGGGCATCACTAAATTTCATGCAGGAGAGACAAAAACAAAACAAAACGAACACCCCAAAAAACAAACCCAAAGCAACATAACCTACCAGAAGGATGATCACCTTTCCGGGAGGAAGATTTGCTGCTGACCTCTGTGCAGAGGGCCAGAGCTGCCAGTGCTGCCAGCAGTAGAAAGAGAATGTCACTGGGGTAATAATCACCATTGTTACATTTGTAACATGCAGGGGAATGCCAGTTACATAGAATATGGATGGGAAGCAGGCCAGGGGAGCATGCTAGAATATGTGTAAACATATGACTGATGAGAATGGAGTATTTCCTGCAATTCATCAAGGTGTCTCCATCTGTGAGAATAAAACACAACTAAAATAAGCAAAGTTGTGACCCATTGAATGGTATCCTGCCCAAAGGAGACAGGAGTGAGTTTGCCTCGAATCTGGAAAGGCAGGGGAAAGGAACAAAACCTGTCTTACCCAAGGAATTCATTTATATAACAAATATTTCATGAGTAACTGCTTTGTAAGTCAGGCAAGGCAAACCGTGCTTGCTTGCAGCGAGTTAGCAAGATGTCAGATCTGGTGGCCGTGGGGATTCTGAACACGATGACACTGGTCCTATGGTGAGGCAGAGCTGCCTGTTCTATCCCATTCTGAAAATGATTCCACTCAATAGCCTCGCCCTCTGCCTGTGTCCTACGTACACCAAGCAGCATCTCAGGTAATTCCACTCTCCAGAAGGACATGCCTTGGATCGCAAATATGTGTGTAAAGTGTTGAAAAACTATTTCCTGTTCTCAATAAACTATTTGGTTTCCTGGCCTTTCGTGAATTTGGCTAATGTGAAACGTTTTTATCTGAGTTGGATCTCCCCCTAACAAGATTAAATTTCTGAATCTGAAAAGCAAAGGGAACTATATTCCAGATGGTTGGTGTCAATAGCAGTAACTATGTAATAACAGCTAACATTCACTTAACCTGCACAACTGACTTGCAGGGTAGGAACTATTTGCATTTTACAGACGTGTAAAGAGGCTCAGAGAGGTTCAGGAACTTACAGACACAATGAACAAGTAAATGGCGATGGTGAGACTTAAATTTAGGCAGCCTCTCCCCAGAG